TCAAAAAAAAAAAAGGCCAGGCGTGGTGGCTCACACCTATAATCCCAGCACTTTGGGAGGCCAAGGTGAGAGGATTGCCTGAGCTCACGGGTAACTTGGTGAGACCTCATCTCTACAATAAATTTTTCTAACAAAATTAACCAGGCATGATGGTGCACACTTGTTGTCCCAGTTATTTGAAAGGCTGGGTGACAGAGTGAGACTCCAATTCAAGAAACAAAAAAAAAAATTACGGGGTCAGGAGTTCCCCTTCCAGCGTGGCAATCTGAGGACTAACTCCCCAGTAAAACTGAATAACATTTAAAGTTTCTGGAAACAGTACTAGGGCATATCATCAAATTAAGTAATAGTCAATAAGACCTACTAAAACTTGGTGTGAGCAATGAAAGTCTGTGGCAGCTGGACAGCCTCCCTTCTTCCCTCCATTCCAGATGTGTGTAGACAAAAACAGGGCTTTCTCTTCATCCCAACTCTCAGTTGAAGGCTATAGTATCTTCCCAGGAGAAGCAGCATGTCAACATTTCTCACCCTGTCCCTCACTCCTCCAGCTACCTGTTGCAGAGGCTAAGTCCCACATACATGTTACCAAGAGGTGGGAGTTCCTTCTGTCATACAATCCCCATTTGTGGGATGGAGTCAACATGGAAGCATGGCATGTTGGGAATACAGGGGCCACATTGCCCCTCATTCATCAAGCAGAGATTTCATACCAGAGGAGGCAAGCTGAGAATACCAGAGGCTATAACCCTTTTCCTCCCACCCCACTGCCAAGTATCCAGTTCCTAAAGCAGGGGTATCAATCAGAGGGAAGCAAGCCATTGTCCCCTCAACCAGTTCCAGAGATGTGACTTACAAATTTTTCCCAAAGGAGAAAGCAGGGCTCTAAGCTCTTTCCAAAGGAACTGATTTTATCGGCAATAAGAGTGTGGAGAAATTCAGCCTAGTGGCATTCTCAAATGGAGACTAGTGAAATGAAACTAAAGGAAGACTGTAGAGATATGGCCAGCAGTGGTGGCTGACGCCTATAATCCCATCACTTTGGGAGGCCGAGGTGAGGATTACTTGAGCCCGCAGGTTCGAGACCAACTTGGCAAGACCTCATCTCTACAATAAATCAAAAAATTAGCCAGGCATGGTGGCATGTGCCTGTAGTTCCAGCTACTTGGAAGGCTGAGGCAGAAGGTCGAGGCTGCGGTGGCAATGAGCGTGCCACTGCACTCCAGCCTGGGCGACAGAGTGGAGACTCCAACCCCCCCCCAAAAAAATCAATAGAGATATAAGATAAATCAGGACAGGTGAGGTGGCTCACGCCTATAATCCCTATAATAGGATTAGATGAAGTCATGAGGATCAGGCATTACTTGCTTTATAGGAAGAGAGAGATCCAGATTGGGCATGATAGCTCATACCTGTAATCCCAACACTTTGGCTGAGGTGAGAGAATCACTTGAGCTCAGGAGTTTGAGACTTGCCTAGGCAACATAGCAAGACCTTGTCGCTACAAAAAATACAAAAATTAGCTGAGCACGGTGGCACATACCTGTATCTCAGCTACTTGGGAGCCTGAGGTAGGAGGATTGCTTGAGCCCAGGAGTTGGAGGCTGTGGTGACCTGGATTGTACCATGCACTCCAGCCTGGGTGGCAGAGTCAGACCCTGTCTCAAAAAAAGAGAGAGACCTACCTGAACTAGTATGATTAAGCCCCCTTACCATCTGATGCCCTGTGCCACCTCAGAACTCTGCAGAAGGACCTCACCAGATTTGGCCACTCAACCTTGTCCTTCCCCACCTCTAGAACTTTAAGAAATCTCCTTTCTTTACAATTGTCCATTCTCAGATATTCAGTTGCGGCAACAGAAAAAAAGCTAAAGCATATGCTCAGAAGTGGAATTCATGGATTATATGGCCATTCGGCTTTTATTTTTGAGAAACCTCCATACTGTTTTCTATAATGACTATACCCATTTACATTGTCATCAAAATATATAAAGCTTCCCTTTCTCCACATCTTCACCAAGACTTATCTTTTGACTTTTTGGTACTAATCATCCTAACAGGTGTGAGGGATGTATCCCTGTGGTTTGGATTTGCAACTCCCTGATGATCAGTGATGTTGAGCACCAATTGACTATTGGTATGTCTTCTTTGTGGAAATGTCTATTTAGGTTCTTTGCTCATTTTTCAATAGGGCTTTTTGGTTTTTGGCTGCTGAATTGTATGGATTGCTTTTATTTTTTGTATTTAACTCCTTATGAGATACATGGTTTGCAAATATTTTCTCTCACTCCGTGGGCTATTTTTTTAAAATTTTGTTGACTTTTTCCTTTACTATGCAGAAACTTTTAAATTTGATGTGATCCCACATGTTTATTGTTGTTGCCTGTGCTTTTGGTTTCATACCTTAAAAAGTATTGCCAAGACCAAGTTGAAACCATGCCCCGAAGAGTGAAAGAAACTAACCACTAACTGAAATTCTAGAGCTTGCAGGATGGCAGATAAGAAGAGAAACAACTTGCTGAATACTGAGACTCTCCAACTTGTGAGATTTTATCATTTGTTTGTTTGTTTATTTGAGTCGGAGTCTCACTGTCGCCCAGGCTGGAACCTCAGGCATGTGCTACTACCCCCGACTAATTTTTTGATTTATTGCAGAGACGCGGTCTCATCAAGTTGCCCAGGCGAATCTCGAATCCTGCGGCTCCTTGCAGTCCTCCGGCCTCCGCCTCCCAAGGGCTAGGATGGCAAGCGTGAGGCCCCGCCCGCGCAATTATCTTTAAAGGGCGGAGAGATTCGGTCGGCTAGGCTTTGTACCTTTCCCGCAGAAGCGCGGTCTCCGGGAGACGCGTAGTTGGGGGGGAGGCGCGGCGCGCCGCGGGGCATCCTGGGAGATGTAGTTCCGAGGGGGCGGGCGCCTCCCGCGCGCACGCGCGCACGCCCGGCCGGCTGGAGGCTGCGCCGTCTGCTCTTTGTCCTCGACCGCCGCAGGAGAGGTGTGTGCGCTAGTGGGAGCCCAGGGGCCCCGCCCGCTCGCCCCGGCCCATTTGGACCTGGCGGGTCCGCCCCGGAGGGCCGGGCGGTCGAGCGCGTGCGCGGCGGGCGCGGGGCGCGGGCGTCCTGGCCGTCACGTGACCCGACGCGGGTGTCCGGGCCGAAGCCCGCGGGCCCGGCGTGGGGCCCTGCGTGGCCCAGGAACTGGGCGGGGACGTGGGCGTCGGAAGCGGCGGCCGGAGCCTGCGGGGTCCCGGGTGTCTTGGCGGGGCTGAGCGCGTGGGGTCGGGCTTCAGGCCCGGGAGTCCCTCGAG